CGCGGGTTCCGCAGGGGCGTCGCGACGCACAGGAGTCGCACCTCGCGAGTCCCGCAGGGGCGACGCGACGAGGCGGGGGCGACGCGGCGGGGCCGCGACTGGCGACGGGCCGGGGCCGCGACTGGCGACGAGGCGAGGCCGCGACTGGCGACGGGGCGGGGCCGCGACTGGCGATAGGGCGGGGCCGCTACGAGCAGCGGGGCGGGGCCGCGAAGGGGCCGCGAAGGGAACCGCGAGGGGCCCGCGAGGGGGCCGTGAAGGGGCCGCCAAGGGGCCGTGAAGGGGCCGTGAAGGGGCCGCGAAGGGGCCGTGAAGGGGCCACGAAGGTGCCGCGAAGGGGCCGCGAAGGGGCCGCGAAGGGGTCGTGAAGGGGCCGCGAAGGGGCCCCGAAGGGGCCGTGAAGGGGCCACGAAGGTGCCGCGACGGGGCCGTGAAGGGGCCGCGAAGGGGCCGCGAAGGGAGGCCGCGAAGGGGCCACGAGGGGCCTGAAGGGGCCGCGAAGGGCCGTGAGAGGGGCCGTGAGAGGGCGTGAGAGGGGCCGCTACAGGGCCGTAGTGGAGCGCGACGGGCCACTAAGGGCAGGGGACGTGACGGGAGAGTAGGCACACGGGCGCGACTCGGGCAGGGGGGAAGCGCGCTCCAGGCAGGAAAAAAAATTGATATTCGGTGGGCCTTAGGAAACGTTCCCACTAGGGAACCTGCTCTATACCATGTGAAAGAACGAGGAATGAATGAACTAGCAAGCAGGTGGGTACAAGTAGGCAAAGCGTAAAAGTGTTGTACCCCATATTGTCTACCCCACTACAGCCTACACAGACTATAGCATTTGAGTTTGACAAGAAGTTAGACACCGTGAAAGCCTGGCACCCCCCGACGAATATTACGGAACTGCAGGGTTTTTTAGGGTTCGTAAACTACGTGCGTCGGTTCGTCCCTGACATGGCACGGTTCACAGCACCGCTGACGGACTTATTACGAAAGGGGGTCGCTTTTACGTGGGGGGAGAAAGAGCACACTGCCTTCTCTGCCCTGAAAAATGTTCTTTGTTCACCGCCCGTCCTGCGCATCGCCGACCCACACCGCCCATTCGAAGTGGTTACTGACGCAAGCGACATCACCATCGGAGCCATACTGCTACAGGACTTTGGCAACGGCCTACAGCCCATCGCATACGAGTCACGAAAACTTCATCCGCCCGAGAAAAATTACCCGATACACGGCCGCGAAATGTTTGCGATCGTGCACGCGTTCAAAGTGTGGCGCTGTTACTTGACCGGCGCAGACGTGACAGTACGGACAGACCATAAATCACTACAGTACCTCCGCGCATAGCCACACCTCAACCCACGACAAATTTGTTGGCCCGACTTCCTCGAGTCAAATTTTCACTACACGGTCACCTACAAAAAAGGAGTCTCGAACATCGCCGACGCATTGACCCGCCCCACTGCCTAGATCCATGCAATACTACTCGCCCAGACCAATCCCCTACTTACAGGCCTATTTACCCACGGGTACCAAACGGATCCATTCTTTAGAGGAGGAAATTCGCAGCAGTTCGCAGTAGCAAGGGGAGTCTATTACGTAAAAACCGGGACCGACCGCATCTGGGTGCCTGGGTATACACTGCTACGGGAATTACTGTCACAGGAGGCACACGACGGAGTTTCCTCGGGACATTTTGGGGTAGAGAAAACACGGCAGCAGCTGCAGCAGTATTATTACTGGCCCGAAATGTTGACCGACGTACAGCGACACGTGGCATCGTGTCCCATTTGTCAGCTCATGAACTCATCACGGCAGCGGCCGGCAGGACAGTTGCAGCCGATTCCACCCCCAGAATGTGCTTGGCAGCAGGTGACGATGGACTTCGTCACGGGGTTACCGGCCGGAGCGAGTGGGAACGACGCGATCCTGGTCGTCGTCAATCGACTGACAAAAATGGCACATTTTGCAGCCTGCAAAAATCAATCACAGCCGAAGAAACAGCACGCCTCTTCATCTCCACCGTCGTCTGATTGCACGGGATACCAGCAGCAATAATCAGCGACCGCGACACGAAATTCACCAGCAACTTCTGGCGGAACCTATGGCAGCAGATTGGCACGCGACTACAGTTCAGCTCCTCGTACCACCCCGAAACCGACGGACAGACAGAACGGACAAATCAGACCATGGAACAACTCATCCGAGCCACGTGCGACGACCCAACCACATGGGAGCAGCAACTGCCACTCATCGAATTCGCATACAACAATTCACCGTCCGCCACGACCCAACAGTCACCAATTTACCTGTACTACGGACAAGACCCAACAGTACCCATGACCCCGAATCCCGACAACCCAGTGCCACGAGCACAACAGTTCGCCGAAATATTACAAGCAGTACGGACCCGGGCAGCAGACGCAATAAAAAAATCCAACATCATCGCTAAACGTAATGCCGACCGCCATCGCAGACCTGTCACTTACCAGCCCGACGATCTGGTTTTACTTGACACCCAAAACCTCCGCCTGCCCATCACCCCAAAACTCCGTCCCCGATACTGTGGACCATTTCGCATCAGCCACATGCTCACACCCGTCACCGCCCACCTCCTCCTCCCCGCTGACTGGTACGTCAGCCCCTCGTTCCACGTCAGCCTGCTTCGCCCCTACGTCCCGTCCACACGCCAACTCCCACGAAATCGCCCAACCAGCATGACACGACCGCCGACTGAACCAATCATCACCCCGGAGAAGATTCTGAGTCACAGAGTTCGCGACCCTCGAGGAGCCCGAAGGATCGAGTTCCTGCTCCGCAGGAAAGACCGTACACCCACCGAAGACAACTGGGTTCCCTTGGACAGAATCGAAAACCACCCCGTCCTCACCGAGTATCTGCGCAACCGAAACTTCAGGGATGTACATGCACTTTCGTAACGGAGGACCTCCTTAGGGGGGGGGGGGGGGGGTAGTGTAAGGAAAATCCCTTTTCCTTACTTCGCGTCCCCGCTCAGCGCGTACACCACTGTAGCACCACAGTCAGCACCGTTACCACCCGCAACTCTCGCATCGACAATCCTCCCACCACCTTCGCACGTCGCACCCCGACCTCACGGCTCGGCGGGTAACCCGCGCTTCGGGCCTCCGCTTCGACACTTTTCCCAACCTCAGTCCCAGGCCCGTCATGCGACAACCACAGTCCATTACAATTACCACTGTAGATTCGCTATATATTCTTCGCTCATGCCTTCGCTCATTGTACTCTTGCTTCGATAGTGCAATTTTCGCTCGCTCACTCAATTGCACTCGTAACACGGGTCAAAGAATGGTACGTATTATCACAAAACCCCTACCCAACCATTTTTTAGAATATAGAACGCTCTGGATTTGATTTAAACCGTTTTAAACCGCATTTGGACTTTAGAGTCATGATGAAGTCTGCTCCATGCACCTTTAGGGTGTGGAACAATCGCGTTCGCAGAAAGGCTGGGAGAGCTCATGCTTTTCGTTAGGTGTGCAATTTCGAGCTGTAACACGAAAGTTTGGCGAAAATATTTTCGCCAGCATTCTGCCGAACTTCGCTGCAATTTTTCATCGCCATCAGACTCTTCGCCGACCCTACCATGTTCCTAGATCGTGGGCAATGGCTGATTCTGTGGAATTGGTTCAGGTTCTTGCCTAGCTCACAAGCACCTGATTGACTCGCGATGGAGTGGCCGTGAATGGCGATTTGCATAGTAGGCATCACGACGCGCGAATAACACCCGAATGGCCTTCTCGACTTTCCCAGTGACCCCACATTTGTAGTTTGTGGTCTCGTCTCGCTTTGCTCTTCGCTCTCAGTCCTTCGATACTCAAGCAATAATTAACCAGCCACACCACCTCACGTAGACCGAGCCTTTGGATTCCCGATTTGATTTTTGAGTCGACTCAAAAATCAATTCCCGGTCCCCGTTCATAATTTTACACAATTGAGGTTGTCCACTGTTTTGCTTCCAGCGGGTATTCACCAACCTGTCGTTCCTCCTCCATTTCGCCGTTCTTAATTTGAGCACTCTGTACGCGTTAGAAACTCCCTCGTTATCCTCGCCGTGGTCGGACCACCGGCTTTCTCAACGGCTATCCTCGTAACTCTCAGATTAGGGAGGAAAAAGGAGGCACGAGGTTGGAGGCAGGAGCCACGAGGGTCGTTTACCGAAGCGCCGTCCGGGATTCGCGGTTTAAGACTCTGTCAGGCACCGCCTACCGCGGTCGGCGGTCCACGTGTCGTCGCCCAGTTGTCACTGTCCACGTGTCCTTTTCCGCTGCTGGGCGATGTGGTTGGCGGTGATTGCGGCGGTGGCAGCGTCGAGCGGCAACAACATTGGCAAGGTGCTGCAGAAGCAGGCCACGAGGAGCCTCCCGCGTCTCACGCTCGAATCCAAGGTGCCGCCACGCTGCCACGCTGCCACGCTGTCACGATGCTCGCTGCTTGCTCCTGCCACTCCACTCTCTCATCCCGCCCTCCCCTTGCCTCCGCCTACTATCCTTCTCCGCATGCCCCCTGCTGCACGCCTGCCTGTTGCGGGCCTTTTTTAAAATTCCCAGCAAACTCCCGTCTCGCCATTCACATCCCGGTGCGCTCTTCCCACTCTTGCGCTCCTCCTCCCCCTCTCTCTCACACTCGCCCCCGATTTCCAGCCATACGTGGCCTTTCCACACGAACAATGGAATCTGTATTTCATGTGCTGTGCGTTCTCTTTATAACATCACTTCCATTCAACCAGATCCCCCTCCTCTTTCTTCCCCCGCTTCCCTTTCCCCCTCCCCTTTCCCCCTCCCCTTTCCCCCTCGCCGTTTCCCCCTCCCGTTTCTCCTCCCCCCACCCTACCCCCACCTCCCCCCTCGCCAGGTGCTATGGACGTACCTGCGCAGCCCCCTGTGGGTGGCGGGGCTGGTCATTGGCTGTTGCGTCGACTCTAACGTCCCCCCCAACTTTCCCCTTCCTCCGCCCCCACCTCCCCCCCACGGCAGGTGCTATGGACGTACCTGCGCAGCCCCCTGTGGGTGGCGGGGCTGGTCATCGACGTGGGCGGTGGGTTGCTCATGCTTCAGGCCGTTGCTTCCGCTCCTGTGAGGATAGGGGGGCGAAGGGGGGAAGGGGGTGGAGTGAGGGAGACGGAAGAAAGGGGCGCGGGGGGAGAGAGGGGAGAAGGGGGAGAGGAGGGAGGAGGAGAGGGGGGAGGGGGGAGGGGAAAGGGGGGAATGGAGAGGGGAGAGGGGGGAGGGGAGAGGGGAGATGAGAGCTGGGAGTGGGGGGCGGGGGAAGGCAGGGAGAGGGGGTAAAGGACAAAGAAGGTGGATCATGGATGGGAGAAGGAGGGTGGAAGGGTGGAGAGTGGAGGGTTAACTGGGCATGTTGATGCATGGAGGACAGACTGAGCGAGAGGAGTCTAGGGGTTAAGAGCGGTTGGCTGTGGTGTGCTTCACTCGTCATGCCCGCTTCATTGCCTCACATCAGCACCTGTTCCTCCCCTTTCCTCCCTGGCTTCACCCCCCCCCTTTCCTCCCCAACCCTCATTCCTTCATCAGAACCGTTGCACTTGTCCTGCTCTTCGTCCTCCCATCTACTCTCCTGCACTCCCCCCTTCCCTCCCTCTCTCACCCCTTTCCACCGCCAATGCCCATGCACTCTTCTCAGCAACCCACCTCTCCCCCCATCTAACCCCCTATCTCTCCCCAATCCCCGCCCAACACCCCCCCTCTTCCCCCCATCGCAGGTATCCATAGTGCAGCCGGTGTCAACGTCAGGGTTGGCCCTCATGGCGCTCTTCTCACACCTCTACCTGCACAAGCCCATGCGCTCCTCCCAACTATCAACCTCCCTCCCCCACCTCCCTTCCATCCAACCCACCATCTCCCCCCATTCCCCTTCCCCCGTCTTCTCCCATCCCATGCCCCCTCGTCTCTTCCCCAACCCCGTCTCTCCCCATGCGCATTGAACCCCCGTTAAACACCCCCCCTCTTCCCCCCATCGCAGGTATCCATAGTGCAGCCGGTGTCAACGTCAGGGCTGGCCCTCATGGCGCTCTTCTCACACCTCTACCTGCACGAGCCCATGCGCCTGGCTGACTGGACTGGCATCCTGCTCTGCATCCTCGGCACTGTCGGTGAGCAACGAGGGGAAGCGGCCGGGGGCGGGGGGTGTGGTGGGGTTGAAGGGGAAGGCAGAGAGGAAAGTTCCCGTGGAGTGAGGCACCGAAACAGGAAACAGCAACCCCTTTGGAGCCCATGCGCCTCGTCTCGCCGAGTGTGCCGGCAGCATCCTGCTCTGCATCCTAAGCACCGTCGGTGAGGGCGTGTGCCTGGGGCATGGATGATGCGGGATGGGGAGCTGGTGATGCGGGATTGGCGGCTGGTGATGCGGGATTGGCGGCTGGTGATGCGGGATTGGCGGCTGGTGACGCGAGATTGGCGCCTGGGTGGGGTTAGGTTAGGGGGAAGCCAGAGCAAAAGGAGTCCCACTCCCACAAAGTGAGTGAGTGAGGCGTGAGACACAAGGCATGCAAACAACAGCAGCCTGTGCGCCCACACGTCCCATGTGCTTGTCACATTCATTCACACCAGCGGTGGGTGTCTCATCTGAGCACCCCTTGCCGTCCGCCCTGCCTCCCCAGATCTCCCTGCAATTTCTGAGTCGACTCATATTTGCACTCCTACCCTGCAACCCCCCCTTCCCTCCCCCTCCCTCACTCCCACCCCCCCTCCCCTCACATTCACCCCAGCGGTGGGAGTGTCATCGGAAAACCCTTTGCCATCCGCCCCGCCTCCCCAGCTCTCCCTGCGGCACCTCATGGCGTTTGTCTTCTGGGTCGTGCTGCTCCTGGTGAGAGGGGGGCATGTGAGAGGGGGGCATGTGAGAGGGGGGCATGTGAGAGGGGGGCATGTGAGAGGGGGGCACGGTGAGAGGGGGCATGTGAGAGGGGGGCACGGTGAGAGGGGGGCATGGTGAGAGGGGGGCATGTGATTGGGGGGCATGTGAGAGGGGGGCATGTGAGAGGGGGGCATGTGAGAGGGGGGCACGGTGAGAGGGGGGCATGTGAGAGGGGGGCATGGTGAGAGGGGGGCACGGTGAGAGGGGGGCACGGTGAGAGGGGGGCACAGTGAGAGGGGGGCACAGTGAGAGGGGGGCACAGTGAGAGGGGGGCACAGTGAGAGGGGGGCACAGTGAGAGGGGGGCACAGTGAGAGGGGGGCACAGTGAGAGGGGGGCACAGTGAGAGGGGGGCACAGTGAGAGGGGGGCACAGTGAGAGGGGGGCACAGTGAGAGGGGGGCACAGTGAGAGGGGGGCACAGTGAGAGGGGGGCACGGTGAGAGGGGGGCACAGTGAGAGGGGGCACAGTGAGAGGGGGGCACAGTGAGAGGGGGGCACAGTGAGAGGGGGGCACAGTGAGAGGGGGGCACAGTGAGAGGGGGGCACAGTGAGAGGGGGGCACAGTGAGAGGGGGGCACAGTGAGAGGGGGGCACAGTGAGAGGGGGGCACAGTGAGAGGGGGGCACAGTGAGAGGGGGGCACACGGTGAGAGGGGGGCACAGTGAGAGGGGGCACAGTGAGAGGGGGGCACAGTGAGAGGGGGGCACAGTGAGAGGGGGGCACAGTGAGAGGGGGGCACAGTGAGAGGGGGGCACAGTGAGAGGGGGGCACAGTGAGAGGGGGGCACAGTGAGAGGGGGGCACAGTGAGAGGGGGGCACAGTGAGAGGGGGGCACAGTGAGAGGGGGGCACAGTGAGAGGGGGGCACAGTGAGAGGGGGGCACAGTGAGAGGGGGGCACAGTGAGAGGGGGGCACAGTGAGAGGGGGGCACAGTGAGAGGGGGGCACAGTGAGAGGGGGGCACAGTGAGAGGGGGGCACAGTGAGAGGGGGGCACAGTGAGAGGGGGGCACAGTGAGGAGGGGGGGGCACAGTGAGAGGGGGGCACAGTGAGAGGGGGGCACAGTGAGAGGGGGGCACAGTGAGAGGGGGCACAGTGAGAGGGGGCACAGTGAGAGGGGGGCACAGTGAGAGGGGGGCACAGTGAGAGGGGGGCACAGTGAGAGGGGGGCACAGTGAGAGGGGGGCACAGTGAGAGGGGGGCACAGTGAGAGGGGGGCACAGTGAGAGGGGGGCACAGTGAGAGGGGGGCACAGTGAGAGGGGGGCACAGTGAGAGGGGGCACAGTGAGAGGGGGGCACAGTGAGAGGGGGGCACAGTGAGAGGGGGGCACAGTGAGAGGGGGGCACAGTGAGAGGGGGGCACAGTGAGAGGGGGGCACAGTGAGAGGGGGGCACAGTGAGAGGGGGGCACAGTGAGAGGGGGGCACAGTGAGAGGGGGGCACAGTGAGAGGGGGGCACAGTGAGAGGGGGGCACAGTGAGAGGGGGGCACAGTGAGAGGGGGGCACAGTGAGAGGGGGGCACAGTGAGAGGGGGGCACAGTGAGAGGGGGGCACAGTGAGAGGGGGGCACAGTGAGAGGGGGGCACAGTGAGAGGGGGGCACAGTGAGAGGGGGGCACAGTGAGAGGGGGGCACAGTGAGAGGGGGGCACGGTGAGAGGGGGGCACGGTGAGAGGGGGGCACAGTGAGAGGGGGGCACGGTGAGAGGGGGGCACAGGTGAGAGGGGGGCACAGTGAGAGGGGGGCACAGTGAGAGGGGGGCACAGTGAGAGGGGGGCACAGTGAGAGGGGGGCACAGTGAGAGGGGGGCACAGTGAGAGGGGGGCACAGTGAGAGGGGGCAGGAGGGGGGCACAGTGAGAGGGGGGCACAGTGAGAGGGGGGCACAGTGAGAGGGGGGCACAGTGAGAGGGGGGCACAGTGAGAGGGGGGCACAGTGAGAGGGGGGCACAGTGAGAGGGGGGCACAGTGAGAGGGGGGCACAGTGAGAGGGGGGCACAGTGAGAGGGGGGCACAGTGAGAGGGGGGCACAGTGAGAGGGGGGCACAGTGAGAGGGGGGGCACAGTGAGAGGGGGGCACAGTGAGAGGGGGGCACAGTGAGAGGGGGGCACAGTGAGAGGGGGGCACAGTGAGAGGGGGGCACAGTGAGAGGGGGGCACAGTGAGAGGGGGGCACAGTGAGAGGGGGGCACAGTGAGAGGGGGGCACAGTGAGAGGGGGGCACAGTGAGAGGGGGGCACAGTGAGAGGGGGCACAGTGAGAGGGGGGCACAGTGAGAGGGGGGCACAGTGAGAGGGGGGCACAGTGAGAGGGGGGCACAGTGAGAGGGGGGCACAGTGAGAGGGGGGCACAGTGAGAGGGGGGCACAGTGAGAGGGGCTCTCCTCAACTCTCCCCCCAACTCTCCCCCCCAACTCTCCCCCCCAACTCTCCCCCCCAACTCTCCCCCCAACTCTCCCCCCCAACTCTCCCCCCCAACTCTTCCCCCCAACCTCCCCCCCTCCAACTCTCTCCGCTCCACTTTCCCCCCACTCCCCACTCTCTCCCTCCAGCCCTCTCCCCCACACTGCTCTCGCTGCATTCGTCTTTATCTTGTCCATATCAACGAACCTGCACTCTTCAACTCTCCCGTATGAACCCCTACTCACTCTCAAATAGTGTTTTCACACTTCCTCACCCCTTGCCTTCCCTTTGCTCTCCTCTGCTCTCCTTTGCTCTCCTCTGCTCTCCCCTGCTATCCACTCCCCTCTTACGCTCCTCTGCTCTTATCTTCCTCTGTTCTTTGAACCGTCAACCCCATTCTGCTGAGAATGTGTCTTCCTGGTCGTCCCATGCTCCCTGCATCTGTCTGTTGTGTGTATGTGAGGTGCGTATGCGTGGTTGTGAATGCATATATCCATGCATGCGTGTGTGTGTGCGTGTGTGTGTGCATGTGTGTGTGTGTGTGTGTGTGTGTGTGTGTGAGTTTTGTGCGCGCGCGTGCGTGTGCGTGTGTGCTTGTGTGCGTGTGTGTGTGTGCATGTGTATGTGTGTGCGTACGTGTGTTTGTGTGTGGCTGTGTGGGTGTGTGGCTGTGTGCGTGTGTGGCTGTGTGGGTGTGTGGCTGTGTGGGTGTGTGGGGGTGAGTCGCTGTGTGCTCATCTCATGCACGTACGTGCATGCGTGTGTGTGTATGTACAAACATGTGTGCGTGTGCATGTGTGCATGTCCCTGCCATGTACATGCATGTGTGTATACATCCATGTGTGTGTGTGTGTGTGTGTGTGTGTCTGTGTGTGTGTGTGTGTGTCTGTGTGTGTGTGTGTCTGTGTCTGTGTGTGTGTGTGTGTGTGTGTCTGTGTGTGTGTGTGTGTGTGTGTGTGTGTGTGTGTGTGTGTGTGTGTGTGTGTGTGTGTGTGTGTGTGTGTGTGTGTGTGTGTGTGTGTGTCTGTGTGCATGGCAGGTAGTGCTGGAGTGGTGTGCCACGGCAAGCAAGGCCAAGCGGAAAATTAAAGACCCTCCTCTTTCCGCTGTATGTCTCACTCTTACATCTACCCAACTCCTTGCGCTCTCCCTCACAACCTCTGACACATCCATTGGACACCTCTCAACCGAACTTAACCTCTCAAAATCCTGCTCTCTTCTCACCCTTATCCAATGCCCCTACAGTCGTTTGACTCTCCCTTATTACTCTATTTAATGTAGAGCATGCAGCATGAGTTGCAGCAGCGCAGTATGCCTCTCCTCCTCCTCCTCCTCCTCCTCCTCCTCCTCCTCCTCCTCCTCCTCCTCCTCCTCCTCCTCCTCCTCCTCCTCCTCCTCCTCCTCCTCCTCCTCCTCCTCCTCCTCCTCCTCCTCCTCCTCCTCCATCTGAACTACCTGTTAGCATGCACGATGCTTCAGATGTCACCTGGACACACATTGACACGTCTCGCCACTCCACGTCCCTCCTCTTCTGTTACATTCACTTACATGCTGCCCATCATGCCATCATGCCTGCCGTCGTGCCGCCGATGCGGTGAGTCCTCTCCAGCAGGGTGCGCTGGGAGAGGGCGCCGTGGCAGAGGAGCTAGCAGCAGGGACAATCTGTTATGTCCCTGCTGCTAGCACCATGCACAATTCTTCTCATGTCCCCTGGACATACATTCAGGCCTCCTTGGGGTAACCTGCCAGGACTGGGCGGTAATTTCATGCCCTTGTTCATGCCGTCGTGCCATCATGCCCTCACAACCAGCAGGGCGCACTGGGAGCGGATGTGGTGGAGGAGCTAGCAGCAGGGACCCAAGCCGGGGCCTTCTTTGGGTAGGTCTACCCCATTGAGTGGGGGGGACGGGGGAAGAATGACGCATTTGGGGGGGGATGCGATGCGGTGCAGATGGGTTCTTGTAGTACCATGCCAGGGGGCCCCGTGGGGATGTGGTGGAGGAGCTAGCAGCAAGGACCCAAGCTGGGGCCTTTTTTGGGTTCGGGCTACCCCACCCACTTGGATTGCTTCCATTGCTCTGTTTCCCTGCTTAGCCTCGTCCGGCATTCTGCGATGGAAATGCGTGTGAAGTGATACAAGCTGGTGTCGTATTGAAGCTACACTGGATCTATATTGCTGTTTGCTTCAACTCCCCTCCCCTTGCCCTAAACCCTGCCTCTTCTGCTCCCCCTGCGCCACCCTGCTCCATGCCCTCTCCCTGTCCGCCCTGCATTATCCTTCACCACACATCACATCATCAGGCTGTCAGCAGCAGCAGTGAAGACAGGCATGCTGCTGGCCACAGGAGGCCCGCCCGTCTTTGCTCTCCTTGGGATTGCCGTCGGCGTCAGTCTCAGCAGCTTCGGGTTTTTCTGCCAGGTTAGTGAGGGGGTGGGGTATGGCGTACGGTGGGGTATGGCGTGCGGTGGGGTATGGCGTGCGGTGGGGTATGGCGTGCAGTGGGGTATGGTGTGCGGTGGGGTATGGCGTGCGGTGGGGTATGGCGTGCGGTGGGGTATGGCGTGCGGTGGGGTATGGCGTGCGGTGGGGTTTTGCGTGCGGTGGGGTATGGCGTGCGGTGGGGTATGGCGTGCGGTGGGGTATGGCGTGCGGTGGGGTATGGCGTGCGGTGGGGTATGGCGTACGGTGGGGTATGGCGTGCGGTGGGGTATGGCGTGCGGTGGGGTATGGCGTGCGGTGGGGTATGGCGTGCGGTGGGGTATGGCGTGCGGTGGGGTATGGCGTGCGGTGGGGTATGGCGTGCGGTGGGGTATGGCGTATGGTGGGGTATGGCGTGCGGTGGGGTATGGCGTACGGTGGGGTATGGCGTGCGGTGGGGTATGGCGTACGGTGGGGTATGGCGTGCGGTGGGGTATGGCGTGCGGTGGGGTATGGCGTGCGGTGGGGTATGGCGTACGGTGGGGTATGGCGTACGGTGGGGTATGGCGTACGGTGGGGTATGGCGTACGGTGGGGTATGGCGTACGGTGGGGTATGGCGTACGGTGGGGTATGGCGTGCGGTGGGGTATGGCGTGCGGTGGGATATGGCGTGCGGTGGGGTATGGCGTGCTGTGGGGTATGGCGTGCGGTGGGGTATGGCGTGCGGTGGGGTATGGCGTGCGGTGGGGTATGGCGTGCGGTGGGGTATGGCGTGCGGTGGGGTATGGCGTGCTGTGGGGTATGGCGTGCGGTGGGGTATGGCGTGCGGTGGGGTATGGCGTGCGGTGGGGTATGGCGTGCGGTGGGGTATGGCGTGCGGTGGGGTATGGCGTACGGTGGGGTATGGCGTACCGTGGGGTATGGCGTACGGTGGGGTATGGCGTATGGTGGGGTATGGCGTACGGTGGGGTATGGCGTACGGTGGGGTATGGCGTACGGTGGGGTATGGCGTGCGGTGGGGTATGGAGTGCGGTGGGGTATGGCGTGCGGTGGGGTATGGCGTGCTGTGGGGTATGGCGTGCGGTGGGGTATGGCGTGCGGTGGGGTATGGCGTGCGGTGGGGTATGGCGTGCGGTGGGGTATGGCGTACGGTGGGGTATGGCGTGCGGTGGGGTATGGCGTGCGGTGGGGTATGGCGTGCAGTGGGGTATGGTGTGCGGTGGGGTATGGCGTGCGGTGGGGTATGGCGTGCGGTGGGGTATGGCGTGCGGTGGGGTATGGCGTGCGGTGGGGTTTTGCGTGCGGTGGGGTATGGCGTGCGGTGGGGTATGGCGTGCGGTGGGGTATGGCGTGCGGTGGGTATGGCGTGCGGTGGGGTATGGCGTACGGTGGGGTATGGCGTAGCGGTGGGGTATGGCGTGCGGTGGGGTATGGCGTGCGGTGGGGTATGGCGTGCGGTGGGGTATGGCGTGCGGTGGGGTATGGCGTGCGGTGGGGTATGGCGTGCGGTGGGGTATGGCGTATGGTGGGGTATGGCGTGCGGTGGGGTATGGCGTACGGTGGGGTATGGCGTGCGGTGGGGTATGGCGTACGGTGGGGTATGGCGTGCGGTGGGGTAATGGCGTGCGGTGGGGTATGGCGTGCGGTGGGGTATGGCGTACGGTGGGGTATGGCGTACGGTGGGGTATGGCGTACGGTGGGGTATGGCGTACGGTGGGGGTATGGCGTACGGTGGGGTATGGCGTACGGTGGGGTATGGCGTGCGGTGGGGTATGGCGTGCGGTGGGATATGGCGTGCGGTGGGGTATGGCGTGCTGTGGGGTATGGCGTGCGGTGGGGTATGGCGTGGTAGGCGTGCGGTGGGGTATGGCGTGCGGTGGGGTATGGCGGCGGTGGGGTATGGCGTGCTGTGGGGTATGGCGTGCGGTGGGGTATGGCGTGCGGTGGGGTATGGCGTGCGGTGGGGTATGGCGTGCGGTGGGGTATGGCGTGCGGTGGGGTATGGCGTACGGTGGGGTATGGCGTACCGTGGGGTATGGCGTACGGTGGGGTATGGCGTATGGTGGGGTATGGCGTACGGTGGGGTATGGCGTACGGTGGGGTATGGCGTACGGTGGGGTATGGCGTGCGGTGGGGTATGGAGTGCGGTGGGGTATGGCGTGCGGTGGGGTATGGCGTGCTGTGGGGTATGGCGTGCGGTGGGGTATGGCGTGCGGTGGGGTATGGCGTGCGGTGGGGTATGGCGTGCGGTGGGGTATGGCGTGCGGTGGAGTATGGCGTGCGGTGGGGTATGGCGTGCGGTGGGGTATGGCGTGCGGTGGGGTATGGCGTGCGGTGGGGTATGGCGTATGGTGGGGTATGGCGTGCGGTGGGGTATGGCGTGCGGTGGGGTATGGCGTACGGTGGGGTATGGCGTACGGTGGGGTATGGCGTGCGGTGGGGTATGGCGTGCGGTGGGGTATGGCGTACGGTGGGGTATGGCGTGCGGTGGGGTATGGCGTACGGTGGGGTATGGCGTATGGTGGGGTATGGCGTACGGTGGGGTATGGCGTGCGGTGGGGTATGGCGTGCGGTGGGGTATGGCGTGCGGTGGGGTATGGCGTGCGGTGGGGTATGGCGTGCGGTGGGGTATGGCGTGCGGTGGGGTATGGCGTGCGGTGGGGTATGTCATGTGGCTAGTACTTGCACATCTCCGCACACTTGTCCGCTCTCTTCCCTCAACCCATCACACCCCTTCCTTCCCGCCATCCCCTCCCCCATCAGACGCGGGGCTTTAAGGTGGGGCGGGCAGCGGTGACATGTGCAGCGGTAGCAGCAGGCATGGCATCCGCTCCCCTCTCTTTGGGGAGAACCCCCCTGCCCTCAATCCCTCACGCTCTCTCCCCCCACAAACCAACCCCTTCCCCCCCCTTCCTCGCCCTCATCAGACGCGGGGTTTCAAGGAGGGGCGAGCAGTGGTGGTGTCCACATGTGCGGCTGTAGCAGCCATGCTCACGGCTGTAGCAGCAGGTATGGCAGGCCTGGGGGAGGACCTCCCTGCCAGTGCACGCCTGCGCATGTGGCGCTTCCTCGGCTGGTAAGCTCTCTCTATGCCTCAAGGGGACCTAATCCTTCAAGGGGTGCTCTCCACATGCTTTGGTGTGCTGGGTCGTCCCAAACCTCCCTACCAGTGCACCCCTGCGCATGTGGCGCTTCCGTGGCTGGTGAGCTAGACTACAACGGGTGCTTTCCTTTCCTCTTCTAGAGGTGCTTAAAAAAAACCCTATAACTTTGAGGCGCCGAAAAAATCACCTAAAATTCAGAGGCACCTCCGAAATAGCTTCCTTAGCTGGTGAGCTTGACTATACGGGGTGCTCTCCTTTCCTCTGAAAAGTGCACTTCTTGAAAGGGGTGCTATTTCCTGGCTCTGGAGGTTTGGGTCGTCTCAAACCTCTCTGACGATGCACGCCTGCGCATGTGGCGCTTCCGTGGCTGGTGAGCTCGGCTTTCGGATCGACTGATTGTGGCTTTGTCGATTCTTGTTGAATATGTTGAATTCGAGCTTGGATGAAACCGTCTGGGGGATGGGATGAAACCCCTTATCAGACCCTGGTTGTGTGCCTGTGCATGACCGCTCCCGCTCCTGTGCGTGTGCCTGTGCAGTGCAAGCTGTTTCAACATTCATGCCACTTCCCGCTCCTTCTCTCTGCATTTGCCTTCTCCATTCGCACTACCCTGAATCTCTTCTGACACCGTCCAATTCCCACCTCATCTTTCTTGCACGAGAGAGAGTTCAACAGCTCTCCATCACACTCTCAGCTGGATCCCCTTTTCCGTTCCCCTCCCCCGTCCCTCCAATCCTTCCCATCCCTCCCATTCTCTGTATTTTCCCGTATCTGTCTTTCCAACCCTGGTTCCTCACACAGGGGCTTGATTCTCTTTGGGATTGTACTGCTAGTGGCTGCCAAACCGCCTGACCTTGTGGGCCTAGCCAAAGCGGACGCAGCCCGCCGCAAACCTTTGCACCCCTCTCCCCGCGCACCCAACCGCTCCACTTCGCCTAGTGGGCTCTCGATAGGCATTGCAGCTGGTTTTCCTAGAAAGTATGAGCCATAGGGGCTGTTTGGTGTATGTTTAGGATGGGAGATGTGCACTTGGTTCTCATTACGGCATCTCCTACCGTACAGCGTCGGCACGGCTCAGCAGCTGCTCTAGGCTCCTCGAGAACCACAGTCCAAGTAGTTTCACCCCATTCGCCGTGCTAGTCGGCGAACTTCACATCCTCCCCCGCCACCCCCAACGCAGCAATGCCGCGCGCAGCCAACACCAATCCGCAGCCAGCGCCAATCTTGATAGCATCCTTGAGGGAGGCGAACATTGTATGGAATGTAATACCACGTACCAAGCAATCTCCTAAACCTTCATGAATACTATCAGAAGGTAGATTTAAGTTATATAGCATGTCATTTATGTCTTTAGATGTGGCAATTCAGTCGCGGTTCGGACCATTTCATTACGAATTTGTCTGCGGTGTTGTCATAGCTCAACATTCGTCACCAAAGCACATCGAATACTGTAGAGCCGCCCAACTGTCATGGGTCGGTCATCTCCGAGTCGTGTGGTCAAAGGTGATAAGATTGCGGCGAGTGTCACAAAACTAGTGGCTCAAAAGCACAGAAACTGGTCAAGGCGCGTGGAGTGCTCTGCTGACATCAAAGAAGCCGCCACTTCACCAAATCAGCAACACCTGGAGAGTGTGTCCGGCAGTTGCGACCCAGCCAAGCTTGTGCGTCGGCTTCGCTTAGTCGTCGCATCGCAAACGGCACTCTGTTCACGCATTGTCGTCAAGTCCTCTGCTGCCTCAACACCTGGGCTCCACAAATTTCAAGGCCCGAAATTGGGCGCTCGCGGGTAGCTACCCTTCATGTCTGAGACCAAGGGTTGTACAGAGTGAAACATATTTTGAAGTAGGTTAGTTTCGGACTCCTTGTAAGGGCGATGACGTACCGAAGGTCGCAACTAGAAACTTTGCCCGTCATAGTGGGTGGTGAGCCTGATCCACTGAGGGATTTATTGTTTAAAACTACCTTTGAGGAGAGCGTCCTCAAAATCGTTTTGATTCTGGGTGTCTGAAAGATACGGCCGAATCTGGTCTAGGGTGTTTCTGAAAATATTTTCCGGAGCTTGAAATTAGTGGTGCCCAGGTGTACCAATTTATTAAGGCTGAATGTTGTATGACTGTACTACGTACAGCTGGTTGCTAAGGTCGTGTCCGTAGGGATGACATGTCAAAGTGGGAAGTGTCAACTTGGCATTTTGACACTCTGCCAGCATTGTTGGCAGAGTGTCAAGAAATTGCAGGTTGCCAGCCAATACAAATCGTCGGACACTTTTGAAATTGGCACAGACAAACCTACAAACGAGAGACGATCGTCGCAGGTGCCTATCTCACGACCAGATGCTGCCCAATCAGCACAAAATATGTCTTTTGAATTGTTCGTTGCCTAGCAGATCTTGCCATGACAAATTCTTAAACCAATGAAATTGCGTCGCTGATGCTCGTACCTGCGCTTCGACTTGACACTTCCGCTACAAGGCTTGACACTCTAAGAGTGTTACACGCGCTTCGGGTTGACACGCTCCCGATTTTCAAGGATCACGTAGCTAAGATCACTACACCCCAACCGTAGGATTACGGGTGGTCAAACAACATGTTTTTGGGGCACATCACGATCCTTGTTGGTGTACCATCTGCAAATTTGCAGTGGTGATCTGCGACCAGGCGACGTCGCCTGAAACTACGCGACAGTCGCGATCTTTGAATATTTCCATTGACCATGCTGACTGCGTTACTGACCCAAAATCAACAGCTTCATTGGTTCGAATTCCATCGAAAGAGTGCTCTGATTAATCGCGATGTTGTTGCAGCAGTTGGCGACACTAATTTTTTCGTCTTCAAGGATCACCCTGTCTTTGGTACAAAGATGCAAGGATCACCGAGAGATTGGCAGTCCCATGATCTCTCAGAAAACACCAAGATCGGGTAGCATAGGGAACTCGTGATTTCGATCCTTCCTCTGTTGGTACATCTCCTGACACAGTGATTACTGTACAGTGGCAGGTAAGACACTGTTCTGTAAGGATCGCCTACGCGATCCCCAAAAACCAGCATCTTTGCTTGGGTGTAACACGCTCTAAGGATTTTTTTCAAAGGGCTTTTTCATGTCCGAACTGACAGATGTTGACTCGTAGAAAGCCTCACCTTTTCACTACAGTATTTCCCTGCGGTGCCCGAAAAACAGTTTGGGTGGATTATCTCAATCCGGCTTAGGGCATGTTCGTGGCTGGTGTCAAGAAAGTTGACATGAAGCTCTGAAAGGTTGGGATTTTGGTAGATTTGACGAAAATGACTTGGAATGATCGAAATCGTCCATTAGCCTTGTGTCAGCAAGCCTGACACCAGCCAAGAACGCGCCCTTACTATCCGCGTCGCAGCAGTCGCAGCAGGACTCGCCATCGGCACCTCTCCGCCGCGTGCAAGTTCCCGTTCCAACCCCAGCGTCGTCTGCTGGTTGACCATAACTCCCCACCCCACCCCACTCACTCGCCCATAAGCCAGGCCGCTTTCCACACTAGCCGCCCCAGCCAGTCAAGTTCGCCCAATCCAAGGCCATTTCTCTCCCTTCCCCACCTATCCACACCCTCCTCCAACCAACCCATAACTTCGAGGGCCTTTGAAGTTAGAAACAATCGCGTCACTCTCACGCGCACCCCGTCCCATACCCTACTCCACACATCGAGCTCGTCTTCCACTCCACCCCTGCGCTCCTGCGCATCAAACGTCGCACTTCGTGTGTCACAACTGCCAGCTCACGTCAAGAGCCGCACGAACTTCCGGAGAATGATGATTCCGACTGGGAACCATCGGCGTCTCACCGTGACGGCCCCGCTAGTGCAGCTCTTGTTACTGATACCCCTCGTCAACAGTGCGGCGGGTCTCGCGCCCCCACCAAGGAGCGGTAAGTTTACGCTTGCGCGACTTTCTTTTGTTTCTGTTTCTGTTTCTGTTGTTTTTTTGTTTTTTGTTTTTTTACTTTAATTTAAATTTATTTATGTAGCTTCCTCACGTGTTCCGTCGTCTCAAAAGGCGAGAGGACGTTGGGAAAATCATTAACACGCTGATCGCCAAACCGTTGCGACCGCCATTGCCACTCTTCAACAGTGAATGCCGCCCACCATGTCTTAACTCGTTTCGAGGCTGTTCTGTTCCCCCTCTCGTCCGTGATACATAAATATGTGCGTCGCGTGTGTTCAGCCAAGTGTGATTATTCCAACGGGTTATGGATGCGAGGCGGCAAGCGCTTCCCGCGCTACACCACGACGGATGGCCAGAAGCGTGTCAAGTGCCCGTACGTACGGAGCGAGTACTCGTGCGAGCGTAACAACCGGCCCGACTGGCATTACAAGCTGTTCAGGTGGCAGCCGTACGGTTGCTCGCTGTCGTACTTCAGCCCGTCGGGTTTCAAGTTCATAATGAAGAACAAGGTGAGAGGTGAAATAATGCGCTTCTGAAAGCGCAAATGAGGAAAGTTGTGGGGAGCGTTTTCATATGTGCAATCTAGAGCATGTTGCTCAATTTCAACCCGCTTCACCCGGCCCTTTCCACAAGAAGAAAAATAAGAAGAATATAATGAAGGACAACTGGCGCCCGTCAGTCGGTTGCATCAGCGTGGCTGTACGAAGCGCGCCCGCGGTTGTGCGACGCGGGCCGCTGTGCAACGCGCGTGCCGCTGTACGATAGGGGCGCGGCCCGTATGGCTGTACGACATGCGCGCGGCTGTACACTGCCGCCGCACGGTTTCTCATTCTGCAACTGGCCGCCAGCCACTCCAAGTTGTCTGCCATAAGCTGCTGGCGGCGGCGGACGCGCTTCCGGTCAGCCCCACTCTCTTCCTGTCCCTCCTGGCCCATCCGCGCACCCTTCCTCCCCCGTTCCCCCTCTGCGCGCGTCGGTCCCCTCGCGGAGAAAATGCCGTAGTTGGGGGACACTATGATGCCCGCCGCCTTTCACGCGCCGCTGTGCGTCGGACCGCCCACACTCTCTTGCTTGCACCCTCACTCACCCTCCTCTCTCGTGCACTCGATTTCACGCTCTTTTTTATTTCACGCTCTTTTTTATTTCACCGCTCTTTTGCCCTCCTTCTCCATGCCGTGTAACTGCACTCCCTCCCTCCCTCCCTCCCTTCTTCCGTGTTCCACGCAGTTCCCTGTCGCCTCCTTTCTTCCGCCTCATCCCGTCGCCCTGCCTCAACCCATGCCCTGCCTTCCCATCACGTCCTCTTTCCCCGTCCCCAACCACTCCCTCCCCTCAACGGCCTCTACGCGGACCCGCGTAGCCCCCGGCGTTCCGGGTTCCGTCCGCGCTGTCCCCCGTTTCCTGAAAACCCTTGGCGCAGGAAACGCTGCTGGTGGGCGACAGACGCCATAATGCCCAGCTTACACGATGCAAGGCGCGTCGCACCTCTCACTAGCAAGCAACGCCCCCACTCCTCTCCATTTCCCCTGCTGCCGTCCCCCACTTAGTGCGCGTGGCGCACAAAATGCTGCTGGTGGGCGACTGACTCCGTAATGTCCAACTTCCACAAGACGCTGCGCCTCGCTTCTCTCACTAGCAACAACCCCCAATCCACCCTGTCTCCCCTGCTGTCCCCCACTTGGCGCCGCCCTTGGCGCAGAAAATGCTGCTGGTGGGCGACTCCATGATGTCCAACTTCCACGAGGCGCTGCTGTGCGCCATTCACACGGGCGGGTTCAGAGGACAGGTGAGCCGTTTAGTATGTTTTGACAAACGTTGGGTGAGGAAACGGGGTGTGAGAGAATGTGAGCAGGGGTTAGAAATCACAGACCCAGCCCCACCTTGTACCCCCTTTTTTCTTCCCTCCTCTCCCACACCCTCCCCCACTTCCTCCCACCCCCTGTCTCCTCTATCCCTCCCCACCCCCCCACCCCTTCCCTCCCGTCCGCCCCCCTTCCCTCCTCCCCTCCCGGCCTCTGCCAGCCATACACAGTGGACATCGGCCTGACGAACAACATCAAGGGCATGCGCTTCCCGGCCTTCTCCTTCTCCCTCGAGTACTACAACTCGCCCTACCTCGTGCAGTCCCGCCGCCGCCAGACCACTGTCTCCGCCAAGCGCGGCGGGCACGGGTTTGAAGTCAACGTGGACAAGATGGATCCCAAGTTGGAGTCTATCCTGGGGAAGTACAACGTTGTGGTCTTTGCCACGGGGGTCTGGTGGCTGCAGAACGTCCCGCGCCGCACGCAGCCGAATATTTTCCTCGTGAACGGGCAGGAGCGGAACCTTTCGAACGTGGCCGCGCACCAATGGGGGCTCTCCACTGTGGTCAACTCCATCAAAAACTTGAATTTCCGCGGCGTGCCGATGTTCCTCTCTTTCTCGCCAAACCACTCAGGTGCAAAAGGGAATCCGCAGAAAGGTGTGATGCTAGGGAGGGGGACCCATGCAGACTGGATTGGAGCATGTGGGGCCTGGTATCCTATCAGCAGCACTAAAAAGTACTCATATTCTCTCGATACTGCGAGCGAGTACAGGGATGCGCAGAAGTCCACACTTTCTGGTACGCCCATTCGATTTATTCAGGTGACTGATTTGAGTGGGGTCAGGCCTGACGGGCACTTAGGCCCGTGGCACGAGCAGAGGGAGAACAAAGGAAGCAAGTCTCCTGGAGGGCAGGGGGAATCTCCGTTCAGTGGGGACTGCACGCACTGGTGCTTGCCTGGGGTTCCCGACACTTGGGTTGATATGCTCTACACCCACCTGCTTCTGGAGCCATCGATCTTCTAGGAGATAGTGCCTGGTCTGGTAATAATGTTTTGTAATGCTTGGCGGGCGGTTCAGGCAGGCTATGCGTATTAGTTCACTTGGTGGTCTTCATGGACCTTTTCCTTGGGATGTCCACATCCCGATTGCTCGTTAATTTTGAAGGCAGTAGTTGTGAGAAGGGTTTGCGGTCATTGTCATCTACAGTGTGCGTCAATAAATGATGCACTAGCTTTATCAGACTGCACATGATCGAGTGTTACGTTATATGCGTTAGTTCTGTTTTTACTGGGAGTAGGCTCTACTTGTCAAAATGAGGAATGATGATGCCATTGATGTTGGTTGGGGTACATATAACAAACCCTAACTTCTGTACCCCCTAAGACAAACCTCACTACAGGCTACAACATTTGACACACCCCCATAGCCTAAGTGAGGGGTGTCTAGCAAAATAAAAAAAAGAGTACGGTCACAAGACCAGTCCAAAAGAAAACAAAGCTCAGGGTGGATCACAACGTCACCACACTCTCTGAGCACAAGCAACAGTGGCCACAAGACCAGTCCAAGAGATCACAAGTATATATAGCAAGAGTACAGACGAAGCAGGCAATAAACTCAAGCCTACACATGACTAGAACCTGTGTCAACAAGGCCTAACTGCACACAACACCTCTGGTGGTCACGAGGCGGAAGCGCCTTGGTGAAGATGTCTGCAGTGTTGGCCTCGGACTCCACAAACTCGAAGCGAGCCTGTCCACGTCTCTGCAACTCTCGCAGAAGAAAGTACCTGACGTGAATGTGCTTCACTCTGCTCTCCAGTCGCGGCTCACGACAGAGGAGGATCGACGCCTTGTTGTCAGTGAACAAGGTCGGTGCAGAGCTCGGCCGCTCACCAAGGTCGGCGAGCAAGAAGGTCAACCAACGCAACTCCTGTGCCGCCATGGCACCAGCGTAAATCTCAGCCTCAGCTGTAGAGGTCGAGACAGAAGAGGAGCGCGTGGAACGCCAGGAAACAGCTCCAGAACCCAGACTGAAACAATACCCCTGAGTAGACCTGTGAGTCTCAGCGTCGTCAGCGTAAGAGGAGTCACAGTGACCAGTGAGTACGACAGACTGCTGCCCTCCAAGAACTAGCCCCACGCCTGATGTAGTCGCTAGGTACTTCGCCACCCTCACAGCTGCCGTCCAGTGAACAGGACGGTGTCTCCCTGGCGCAACAAAGCGCGCAAGGATGCTGAGAGGGAAGGCGAGGTCCGGGCGAGTACAAGTCATCAGGTACATGAGGCAACCCACAAGCTCTGCGTAGGGACCACTAGGCTCAAACGGCTCGTCAGGAAAGGGACCAGTGAGTCTGTGGTCAACAGCGAGAGGTGTGCGCTGTACGGTGGAGTGCTGAAGCCCGAACCGCTGAAGGACCTGCTGCACCATGTGTGACTGTGAGAGTGTAATGGTGCGAGCGGCTCTGTCCCTGGTGATCTGCAGGCCAAGGTAGTGGCGCAGCTCACCAAGATCAGTGCACGTGTGTCTCTTCTGCAGTTCGGACTTCACGTCTGCCAAAGCAACCCTGTCCGGAGTGGCGAAAACGAGGTCGTCGACGTAAACCAGAACAACGAACGGTGTGGAGCCACGACGAACGAACAGCGACGGGTCGGCAGAAGACGGCTGGAACCCAAGGTCAGAGAGGGTAGAACGCAGAGTGTCGTGCCACTCACGAGGGGCCTGGCGAAGACCGTAAACAGGTCGCCTCAGCCTCCACTGGGTCCCAGGAGGGAAGGTGCCAGTGAAGGCCGAGGGACGACGCAACCAGACCTCCTCGTGTAGGCTGCCCTGAAGGAAAGCAGTGGAGAAGTCGAGAGAGTGTAACTCGTAGTCTCTCTGTGCTGCTACGTGTAGTAACACCCGAAGAGTGGTCATCTTCGGGGTAGGTGCGAAGGTCTGAAAGAAGTCAACTCCCTCGCGCTGACTGAAACCTCTAGCCACGTAGCGCGCCTTGAAGACCGGGGGAGATCCCGGTGGCCGCTTCACCCTGTAGATCCACATGCCGTCGACTACGTTCGCCCCAGGGGGGGGAACCTCATCGACGTAGGTGCCTGTGGATCTGTAGGAGGCCATCTCTGCGTCCATGGCAGCTCTCCACTGAGAGGCCCAAGACCCTGACACTGCCTCAGCGTAAGTGCGAGGAGTCGGAATGTCAAGGGCGTCGGGGTCACCCTCAGGGGCGAGGAGCATGGCACAGAGATGAGGGGAAGCGGCCGCCAGGAACTCTAGCTCAAACTGCCTGTCCTCTAGGGCGTCACAGCCAAGGGCAGACACACCCCCGACGGCCAGAGGACTGGTAGGAGGAGCAGCCACAAGCGTGGTGGCGTAGTCAAGGCGGCGGGTAGAGGCAAAGTCAGTAACTGCGGCAGTAAGAGCGGACACAGAGGACACAGAGGCACGAGGGTGAGTAACAAGAGAGGCGAGAACACGAGAGAGAACAGGACGGTACGTGCGGTAGTAGTCAGTGACAGGAGTAGGGAGCGACACAGTGAGGGCTGACTCAGGAGGAGACGGAAGCACAGACTGAGACGGACGAGGTGGACTAGAAAGAAGGAAGGCAGTACGAAGGTCAGTGAAGGGAACAGGAGACGAGGGACGAGCACGAGGGGAGCGACGAGTAGCCCAAGAACGAGACGGAGGAGGAGAGGACAAAGGCGGAGAACTGGGGAAAACAGCGGGGGAGGAGTCAGGAGGAGGAAACGTGGGACCGTAGACAGGAGGAGAGGCGGAGGAGGGAGGAGAAGGGGAGGGGAGACCAAGGGTCCGAAGACCCGAGACAGGAGGAGGAAGTGGCTGCTGCTGCTGCTGCTGCGACTGCTGCTGCTGCGGAAGCGGCTGCTGCTGGGACTGCTGCTCCTGCGGGTCCAGCTGCTGCTGCTGCTGCTGCTGCTCCTGCGGCTCCAGCTGCTGTTGCTGCTCCTCCAGCCGCTGTAACTCCCTCTCCTCTCTCTCCAACGCCAGCTGCTCGTCACGGGCACGGCGAACACGAGCCTGGTGCCTAGTCGGGTAGGGGTGGGGGGGCGGAGTAGTGTCCGAAGCAGCGGTAGCTCCAGAGTCCACCCCCGAAGAACCAGGCGCACCACCCCTAGAGGCAGCACTAACACCAGCTCCAGACCCAGGCTCACCAGAACCCGAAGGAGGCGCACTCTCACCCCCAGTGTCCGCGCGACCAGCACCAGCTCCCGGACGACAAGAGTCCTCTGCACCCACCGGGTCAGCTCCAACTCCAGAACCAGAAACTCCAGCTCCAACTCCAGCTCCAACCCCAGCACCCCCAGAACCAGAAACTCCAGTGCCAACTCCAGCTCCAACTCCAGCTCCAACTCCAGCTCCAACTCCACCACCCCCAGAACCAGAAACCGGTACAGGAACAGGCGCAGCACCAACCTCTCGAGAGCTAGCACCTGCGGCACGCTGCGAGGAGGACTGTGGGGAGGGAGGCTGTACCGGAGAGGCTACCGAAGGAGGAGGGGTAGCCTGGGACACACCCGACGGGGCTGGACCAGGGGGGGGAGGCTGTACCGGGGGAACAGGAGGGGGAGCGGCAGTCAGGAAGAGGGGGGGAGGAGGAACCTGGAGACCTCGACTGGGGTACCTGACGTAGTACGGAGTGGACTCCTCGAAACGGACGTCACGGGAGTCAAAGAACCGGTGAGAGGGAGGGTGGTAAAAGGTGAAGTCAGAGGAGTCCTCAGGGAAACCAAGGAAGACACAGGGGACGGCACGAGGCGAGAGCTTGTCCGCGGAGGTGTCGCGGACAAGAGCCAGGCACCCCCAGACACGAAACCGCGACGCAACACCAGGGGACCCTGTCCAAAGACTGGTCGGTGAAACCTCTGGTCGAGAGACACGTGGCCAGAGGTTCAGCTGGTGCGCGGCGTACCTGACCGCGTAGGGCCACAGAAAATGGGGGGCACAGGCGTGAGTCAGGGAGGTGCGGGCGATCTCCATGACCAGGCCTATGCGGCGCTCAGCAACCCCATTCTGCTGTGGGGACTCTGGAAGCGTCCAGGACTGACGAATGCCCTGCTCGCGACAGAATCCAGCGAGAATGCCGGAGCGAAACTCACCCCCACGGTCGGAGTGGAGGCAGCTGACACGACGACCACGAGTGTCCTCGGTGGTGAGCAACCACCTGATCAGCGTAGAAGTCACCTCAGACTTCTTCGCCAGAGGGAACACTGTGGTGTAGCGGGAGAAGTCGTCAACGACCACCAGAAAGTAGCGCTCACGCTCAGGGCCTAGACGAGGGGCGGGGCCCCAGACGTCCAAGTGAAGCGTCTCAAAAGGCTCGGTGGCCGGACGAAGGGAGGAGGAGTGAGGGGCGGCGCGCAGCCGACCCTCGACGCAGGGACCACACGGCGGCGCAAGCGAAGGCGGCAGCGACGGCAAGACACGTGGGAGGCCTAGGACAAGATGCTGACTAGACATAGCGCGCAGACGAGGAAGGGACGGGTGCCCCATCCGGTGGTGCCACAGAACGGTGGGGTGGGCAAGCGACCGGCAGGAGCACGACGCAGCGACTGGAGCAGACGTAGGAACCTGACACGACACAGACACCTGGGGGGACGAAGCAACCTGGTGAGACGCGGGGACCCGAACGGGGGGGGGAACCGGGGGCAGTGGCAGTAGGGGCGGCTGCTGGTGCGACCGCTGGTGCAGCTGCTGCTGCTGCTGCTGCTGCTGCGGCTGCGGCTGCTGCTGCTGCTGCGGCTGCGGCTGCTGCTGCTGCTGCGGCTGCTGCTGCGGCGCACGCGGGCCAGTGCGAAGAGTGTAGAGACCTGAGCCCGGCTCAGCAGTAAAGGTAGCAAGAGGCTGGTAAGAGTCTCCGTCAACACACACCGCAGTCTCTCCAGAAGGCTCAAACCACACACCCACGTGCTGACTCACGAGGGGTCGCACGCCCACCAAGTTCCGGGAGAACGAGGGGACGTGAAACCCAGTGAGAGACCCGGAGGGAGCAGCAGGACACGGTAAAGTGGTAG